TTATGCTCATCTTGATGAACAACGGCAAGCCAATGAGCGAAAACTGTACTTGCGATGATAAGTGCCGTGTATTCTTCTTTTCTCCCAACGGAGACCAACAACCAAGATGTGCTATGTGTTTGGATGTCCTGCGTCACATAAACGTCTTTATGCATCACTGTGATGGAGAATGTGTCTGTAAAGCATGTTATGAAAAATATTATCCTTCTTAGCCATTAAAACTCATGATGTCTGCAAAATGAACTACTTACGTGTTTATTATGGAAAACCCCGAAAGGAGAAGTGTTCTTAGGCCTTCTGTCCAGAGGTATAAGCATTTTATTGAAATATTAGCTAATGGCATGGTATATACCAACAAATCGAATGATAGCATTTCAACCTGAGATTTTGTCCACGAACAGATCTATTTGTGAGTAGAATGCTCTGAAAATTCCAGTCCAAAAGAATGTTTCCTTTCCGAGCTATTAAAGTTTGACAAAACCGAATATTATAGCATCTTTTGTGGAGTATGAGTAAGTTTTTGAACTTTAATATCTCGGGAAGGAAAGATTCTTTTGGACTGGAATTTTGAGAGCATTCTATTCACAAATAGATCTGTTTGTGAGCAAAAGTAGGATGATTAAGTAGCTATAGTAAAACATTAAGTAGCTGTAGGTTCATTAAGTAGTTGTAGGAGAACATTAAGTAACTATAAAATGATTAAGTAGCTGTAGAACGATTAAGTAGCTGTAGGATGCTTAAGTAGCTATAGGAAACATTTAGTAGCTATAGGTTCATTAAGTAGTTGTAGAAGAACCTTAAGTAGCTGTAAAATGATTAAGTAGCTGTAGACCGATTAAGTAGCTATAGGAGAATATTAAGTAGCTGTAGATTGATTAAGCAGTTATTAGATTTTTTTCAAAAGTATCTCTTTGAGAAGCTACGAATTGAAATACTCCTAAACTCGTCATATTCTTTTTTTCTGATGCATGCGTTTTTTGTAATAATTTTTGGTGATCTTTCATTTTTTTAATGATTTATATATACAGTAGAGTGCAAAAATAATTGCCGATAGACTTTTCAAAGTTCTTCTCAGAGAAGTATCAGATATTATGATTTTTTAATGTTGTTGTACTACCCAGATACTGTACTATACAAATACTTAGGGCATACCAAAAGTACTGGCAGTGACACTTTAATACCCTATAGTAGACTTTAAGAAACTTTCTTTCTATATAGTCTGATAGAGAAAAAAATGCTCTATCTTTCTATACTATTTGATCGTACTTCAGCTAATCTCATAATATTAAATTATCCATAAAACCTATTTCGGCTGATTATGTGCTTGTTGTGCTAGATTACAACGTGTGAGAACAGACTAGTTTTCAATCCCTCAAGACATTGTATGAACAACCAAAATATACCATAAGATGCAGCGTGAAAAGCTCTACAATTTACGTAAGGCCATTTATTTTATAGCTGCACTTTTTGCTTTCAAAATCGATAAAGTTTTGAGGGATCAAATTTTTGGTATTGAGAAAATTGGTCGCATAGAATTTTCCTTTTTTTGAAAACAATTACAATAAGCTTTACTGTATAGATTGTAGAGCTTTTCACGCTGCATCTTGTGGTATATTTTGTTTTTCTTTTGGTAAAGCATATCAGGTAATAAACAATGAAATAACAAAAATGAATTCGTTGTGTATCGAAAACATTGTCTTTTTCGCATCTTCACAATTTGATTGCTCCAAATTTTGTCGATTTCGAAAACAAAAATTGCAGCTATAAAATAAGTGGTCGTATGCAAATTGTAGAGCTTTTCACGCTGCATCTTATAGTATATTTTGGTTATTAATACAACTAGTAAGAAATCGAAAACTGCAATGCAAAACTTACAACCAGCATATAACCAGCCGAAATTGGTTTTATAGATAATTTAATACTATGAGATTAGTTGAAGTACGATCAAATAGTATAGAAAGATAGAGCATTTTTTTCTCTATCAGACTATATAGAAAGAAAGTTTCTTAAAGCCTACTATAGGGTATTAAAGTGTCACTGCCAGTACTTTTGGTATGCCCTAAGTATATTAATCATTAAAACTTTCGCATTCTCTATGAGTTTAAAGAAGATAATAATCTTACGTTCTTGGAAAGAATAAAAAAAATTACAAGTTACGCATCAGTTTTAATCCAGTTGTCGGGTCAGACTCTTTTTGATTCATCAATATCTTAAAGTTTTTCATTCATATCAATTGATTGAATGGTCTGGAAGAATAATTTAACTAGATTCAGACTTGTGCTATTAAGTAGCCAAACGATAATTTTACCTATTTAAGGCTGGTCGATCCTATTGTTAGCCTTATTATAACACAGTGTTACGCTCCTCAATCTTGAAAATTTTATCATAACTAATGTGAATAAGGATCATCGTTATACAGTAGTTTCAAACTTCTTCTCGATAATCATTACTTCAATTATGTAATATGATTTATTGGTCAGATCAGATGCACGTAATGCTTGAATTATAAGTCATTTTTGCGCAAATACATAACAGTTTTCGAGCAATTGCCGTCTCATTGAATGCACCAAGGCAGTACCTAACACTTGCACATAACTCGAAAAAAATCGCTCGAAGAACGTACGAAACAGTTTTAAAGAAAGTCAATACACTAAACGGCAATATTTTTTGCACTCTACTGTATATATATGTAGACTTTGTATTATTTTTTCTTTCATTTGTAACTATTATAGGATTCCTAACCACATTAGATTACATTTAGTGCTATTAGTATGTCAAATTTATACTTCCCGAAGTTTACTTATTATTCGTAACTGTGATCATTTTGCCATCTGTCTTTGACATGTGTTCGTTACGTCAATCATAATTTGTTATTTTTGATTTAGTGTGTTCTACGTTATGATTGAAATTTATTAAAGCCCTGTAGGTATTATATTGTAATTTTTTGTCGTTTTTTTTCATTCTTAATTTGTTACGTGATATAAACTACTGATATTCTTTGAAAAAAAAATGCAGTCAATTAAAATAAAGTAACATCGCTGATAAATCGCAATTTTATTAGATGAGATCATCGATTACATCATAGCCAACGTTTAGATATATCGTGATTAATCGCCAATTCTTTTGCAATTTCGAGAACATCAGCAGACTGTCTGGTACACAGAGTGATGCATGTGGTTCAGGTTAGTAGTTTTACTATGATCAAAGCAAGAACATAATCCATACATACATACTATATGAAAAAAAACTTTTATATATGAGTGCTTATCGATGAGTGTTATCAACATTTAGTTTCATAACATCATCGACCTCAATTACTTCAACAGTATCATTATCAACATCAACTATTGTAGAAATAACGTTGTCATCACCACAACACTTAATATTGTATCAAATACATGAAATATCATCAAATAGAGTATTACAATCTGATCGTTTATGACTAAACTAATTTCAAGTTTTTCTTCTATTTCATACATCGATGATTCACAATGTTGAATATATAAAAATTACTCGCTGCTGACTCAAACATAAACAACATAAATCGATGTTGATTCAACTAGAGCATCATGCTCAAACAAAAAATACTCTAATCAATATTATTGAAGCTTCGGTTCAAAATACTATCATTATCATTATTCCTAACATTAATATTAATTTCATAGTATCATCATATCATTATTGAAATTTATTTCTGCTATACAACCATAAATTACAATCTCTGTCATATATTATTAAGAAGAATTTTATTCTCACTTCAAAGCGTCTACTCGGAAAAAACTAATAAAACGAAAAAGGTTACCAAAAAATAATTTATCAACATTAATGTATGAGAGCACACGTCTAACATGAGCGAGGCAATGTTACAGGTGACTCACCTAAATTCTCTCTTGATTTCTTTCTTTATTCGCTGCTATTGTTATTATTATTTCTTTTTTTCTCATTCTCCGTTCTCCTCTCCCACTTTTATCATATACACATATATGTACAAGCTATGACAGACATTTTAAAAACATTCAATACAATAACGAAGTTAAAGCTCGTCCAACGAGTTAACCGTATAATACATTCATGATTTCAATTCTCAAATAACTAATGTTGATATCAGTTTCCGACTTGGATCGGATCAGATCATGAAAAAAAAAGCTTGACTTTGCGTTGGGCAAAACAATGGATGAGGTAGATCACAAAAATTTGATCCATATCGAACGATATGTATCAAAATGGCCGAAACAAAAAATAGCGAACGAAAGAATAGCGATAAAAAAGGCTAAAGAAAAAAATGTCGACGCATAAAATGTTGAAAACAATTATGGCGAAACAAAAAATGTCGATCATATAAAAATGGCGAAAAAATATATTTTCCTGGAAAGTGTCCAAAATGTCCTGGATGCCATCAAGTGACTCTATTAAGCAGTAAGATGTGGAATTCGAGATTAGAGATGAAGCAAGAACTGATATCCACATTCACGTCCTATTCCTATAATGAATCATGTAGTTCAGTTGTTCGTTTTGTGCCTGAATATTTTTGGATTCCCCCTACTTTCATCGAAAATAAAAATGTGGAAAGCAAAATGTCGAAATTGATAATGTCGAAAACTAAAAATCTCGACAATTAGAAATCTCGAAAGCTTAAATGTCGAAAATCAAAATACCGAATGTAAAAATGTCGAAAAATATCGATGTCGAAATAGTGAAATATCGAACAATAAAGATATCGAAAAATAAATATATCGCAACATATGCATTGTATACGATTTCTGACGTTCAAAGTTACTGAAATGAAATATGAGACGTACGCTTAATGTTAGAAACAAAGATGACACCATCAACCGATCGATACGAAACGATTCATTGCGCAACTATTCTGATTGGTAAATTGGATCATCCAGCTTCACTTAAAATAATACTCTTTGTTAAGCCAAAATGAACAAAGGCATACATGGTATACAAACAACTATAACAAATATTCAACATTTACATTCTGGAAAATATTTATCATGTCGATCTTAGCAGATTCAACTAATAATACAAATACATCTATATCCTTTATCACATCCAATAAAGGTCAACGCTTGTTGGTTTTGAATGATCATATATACTGATGTAATAAGAAGATGACAAAAAGGAAACTGGATATGTGTTGTTAATGGATGTACAATCCGCATTTATACAGATGAAAATGGTGTCTATATATCCGGTGGTAAAGGTATTCATGATCATGAAACAAATCTGGATTTAATTGATGCAAAATGTCTTCGACAACAAATGAAACAACGTGTTATAAATGAGTTAACGCCTATTAGTGTGATTTATGAAGAAGAAATGGCAACAACACCACTAAGTGGTTCAGCTACAGCTACATTTCCTACAAATCAAGAACTTTGTAAGCAATTATAAAATATTTTCTGCTTAATGAGTTTTTAATTCTTATGTTTAGATCAAACATTTGCTAAACTTCGTCAAAAACATCTACCTGCATTACCCCAGTCATCTTTATTCACCATTCCCGATCCTTTTAAATTAACAGCTGATGATAAACGTTTTCTGTTGTAAGACGAAGCACGTGTTCGATGTGAACGACTTCTTATATATACAAGTGATATTCAACTGGATGTTTTATTTAATTCTTCAACCATATATATGGACGGAACTTTTTCCAAGGCACCCAAACATTTCGTTCAAATCTACATAATTCATGGGATCAGTTATGATACATGTAAGAAAAAATAAACACCATTCTTTATCGGTAGTTTAAGTGTTTATTTTTCAGGTGTTCCATGTGTTTTTGTATTGATGGTGAACAAAAAAAGTAAAGCTTATCGTCAAATATTTTTTGAACTGAAACAACTTGCTTCAGAAGGTCAAAAATCATTTTCACCACAATTAATTGTTACTGACTTCGAGTCCGGTGTTCTCCCGGTCGTTAAGACGGAAGTACACACCTTGTTATTAACAAAAATACATTTTCTATTTGACGATGTTTTTTCTTCTAGTTTCCTACATCAACACATTATGGATGTCATTTTCATTACAACCAGTGTCCTTATAGGCAAGTACAACAGTTTGGTCTTCAGAGTGACTATTCACGAAATGAACTTATACGTGGTCTTTGTAGGAAATTAATGGCTCAAGCGTTGATGCCAAATGATACAGTTTTAATTAGTTATAATGAAATTCGTGATGAAATACAGAAATTATCAGATTCACGCATGGAAAAATTATTGAATTACTTTGAAACACAATGGATGATCAGTATTGATACATGGAATGTGTCAAGAACGGACACAAGAACCAATAGTACATGTGAAGGTGGAAGTAAAACTGACTTTGTTTTAATAATAGCTATCGTCTATTGTTTTTTCAGGTTATCACAACAGAATGAATCATCGAATTCTACGAAATCATAGCGATATTTGGAAGTTTATCCAGTTCATGCAAAAAGAAGAACAAAGAATTCATTCTCTTCTAATCCAGTGGTCTGCTGGAGCATCTAGAAAAAAAGATCCACGCTCAACAGCATTATAAAATCGTTACAATACTTTATATGAACGATACGATAAAGGCTTGATGAATATTTCTAGTCTTCTTAAAGGTTTTTCACTTCTTATTAGAGGAGGAAAAAACAGAGTTGAAAGTTGTAACTTTAGTGAATTTATTCATTCAATTCTTTTATTTTTTTAACTATTGATTTACTTAAAAAACTTTTTTATTCATTAATTCTTCAAATAAAATAAAAAAATATCTCACGGTTATTTACAACAAAATAACAGTTTGTATAGTTTTGACATTCAATCCAGACATCATTTTTTTACCTTTCGATCTTTTTACTGGTCGGTATTTTTGTCATTCGACATTTTCATCTATCGACGTTTTCCTTTTCGATATTTTTATATTCAACATTTTTATCTTTCGATTTCTAACTTTCGACATTTTTATCGTTCGAGATTTGTATTGTTCGGTATTTTTATAGTAATCTTTTTCGACATTTTTACAGTTCGACATTTTTTTTTCGATGAAAGTAGGGTGTACCTATTTTTGGCCCACTATTATTTTTGTCGGTCTACTTAAACATGGATTATTTTTCTGTATACAATAAAATATCTTCATTCCATTGGTAAAAATGTTGAAGTACACTTTTTCGACAAATTCGAATGGTTGCAAGGGACTTTTTGCTATAGACTGTTTCGCTATTTCCTCGATTCACTATTTTTATCATCAACATTTTTTCGATTCGCTATTCTTTCGTTCGCTAATTTTCTTTTGGTCAATTTAATGCCATTCTATCGAACTATGATTGATATTAATAAGTGTTGATTCCAGTATACATTAAAGTCTATCAATGGACTGATATCTCAAATCCAAAATAGAGTATATATTAAAAAAACGATGGTCAATCTTCTTTTGAAGTATTAGTTAGAAATCAGATCATTTCAGCGAAAAAAAACAAACGTCAAATAGCAAATTTCATCTCTGTTTTTTTGCTGTCAATCAATAATATTCTTTTCTAAAAATATATCAAAAACAAAAGAATTGCATATATTAAGTCGTTTTGTTTACCTACTAATTTTTGGTCTGTTCTATATTTTACTAAATAATACCGACAGTTCATTTTGTATATAAGCAGCACGCGCGCATAGGTATACTTGTGTACGTTTATATTATACATTTAATAAAAACAAGTCAACATATGAAGATGTATTGGTTTCTGATGATAGGATTCTTCCTATTAATTAACGAATCAATGGAACGGGAATGTAGACTACCTGCATTCTCAAGTTTACGTGCTCAACAAAATTTTGATCTATGCAGATTTCTTGGTACATGGTATGAAATAAAATGGTTCCTGACTGGAGAAACATCTGATGATATATGGGGTGATCATTCTCAATTATTTGACTTTCAAGATAAGGGTAAACGACGTCTTATTGTTTACGGTCAAGCACGAAACCCTAATGAAACAAATTGTTTTTCAACTGGTTCATGGTCAATTGATGCAAGTAATGGTGCAAGAATGATTCTTAGAACGGAAGATCTCAAAAATGGACCCATAGTTAATTGGCCTTTCCTTGTATTAAAAACTGATTATTATCATTATGCATTAGTTTATTTTTGTATTTCAAAAAATTATAGACAAACTAATCCATGTAAAGAACGACATGTAACTATATATAGTCGACAAAAAACTTTAGCAGCCAAATATTTAAATCCACTTGTTCGATATGTTGATAAGAACTTATGTATTAGTCCAAAACAACTTATAACAACTCCATATCAGGAAAAACCATGTCCAGCACTGTGAAGCAGAAACTGCTGTAATAACAGATAATTTCCTTGAAGGAAAAAACAATCCAAAAAAATTCAATAGACTCCGTACTTTCTAAACGAACATTCCCAAACAATAATTTACAAAAACCTTTCTCCAACCATAATATTTTTTCTCATTCTCATAATTAGCATTAGAAATTTATCCAACATAATTTTTTTTTTAATTTTACTTTTTCTTTATATTTACTTCTAATTATCATCAATAGCATTAGAAATTTATCCAATATACTTGCTTTTTTAATCCTACTTTTTCTTTATATTTACTTCTAATTACCATCATTAGCATTAGAAATTTATCCAATATAATTGCTTTTTTAATTTTACTTTTTCTTTATATTTATTTCTAATATACAAATAAATATGTCTGACAAGAAGAGAAGAAAAAAGAAGACGAAAGAATTATCTTCAGTGATATTGTATTATATGGGAGAGAAAACTATAGTCATATCAACTGAAAGTAGAGATTAAACTTTGATTTTTGTTTTTGAGAAATTTGGTATATGTTGTTATTCATTCTCTATTTGATAGACATTTGTGTTTATATGTGATTGATGTATGATTGTATAGTACAGGTGGTCTATAGTTTATACTATTGATATCGCTTCATTAATGATGAAAACAAAAGAAATAAAACAAAAAGAAATAAAAGTTGCTTACGTTTTCAATCTTTATATTAATGTAATTTTTTACTTGTTCGTATAACATGGTCAATGGATGAATGTCTGATCAATAGAAACAGAATGGCATATACTATTATATTGGAGCATGAAATCAATTAACTTTGTTCCTTGATCATATAAAATTGAAGAAGAAAATAATCCAGTAATGATGGGAATTTTGTGCTTTGTTTAATACATATTTCTCTCAAACATTATGGTTTAGGGCTGAAAACTCTATCATAGCTTCTTTATTGTAGTCTTGAAATATTCTGAAAATTTCGTGCGATTCTCATGTACTGACAAAAATCGATTTTAAGGAAGCCTCGAGACGGTCGAGTTTCCCAATATTTTTTCCTTTGACTGTATCTAGGAGAAATGTTAAGATAAAAAGAAAGTTGAATGAAATTGTGAAGATTTATTCTTATTTTAAAAACGTCTTTTCATACCATTTTGTAGTACTTTTTCTACTCTCTATTGCCATATGAAAATTTCAAAATTCATCCCTGTATTGATAACTAAATTCTTTTGAGGAGGAGATTTTAATAGGACAAGCTGTAACTTTTTTCCCATCGTTCCTATTATTACTGGATTATTTTCTTCTTCAATTTTATATGATCAAGGAACAAAGTTAATTGATTTCATGCTCCAATATAATAGTATATGCCATTCTGTTTCTATTGATCAGACATTCATCCATTGGCCATGTTATATGAACAAGTAAAAAATTACATTAATATAAAGATTGAAAACGTAATCAACTTTTATTTCTTTTTGTTTTATTTCTTTTGTTTTCATCATTAATGAAGTGATATCAATAGTATAAGCTATAGACCACCTGTACTATACAATCATACATCAATCACATATAAACACACATGTCTATCAAATAGAGAATGAATAACAACATATACCAAATTTCTCAAAAACAAAAATCAAAATTTAATCTCTACTTCCAGTTGATATGACTATAGATTAGTAATTTATTCATCAAGTTTAGTACGAAGTGAATGTGATTCTCGTTTGAATATCTATGAAAAAAAAACAAAGATAGTTAATTGGAATATGATTAAGAGAAATAAATATATTACAGCAAGAAGTGTTTGTGAACTTTCAAGAATTTTCATCTAAGCAGCTTCAATTTCACTTATTGTATGATCAAATTCTGTTCTTAGCGTAATTGTTTTTTGCTAAATTTTCATTGATTTTAGGTAATTTTTCACTTGATAAACGTATTGCATTTTCAAATTTATGCTTATTTTCTTCTTCAATTAAAATTTGTCGTTGTAATTCATCACGTTTCGCCCATAAATCTTTGATATCTATCAAAAAAAATATTAAGAAAAAAAAATTTCGCATGAAGAGAAAAATAATATATGTATACGTTTTTACTAATTCATTGTTATAATTTTGTAATGCAGTACCTTGTTAAGACATGATCAAATGATCGATTGAATAAGAAACAAAACTTAAAAGAAAAAATAAATTCAATTCTTATGATGAACAACTGTCATGTGAGTTCCGTGGTAATATAGATCATGAGGGGAAATACTTTTTATTTTAGATACTCATCACAGAGAAAGTTGTTTGTCTTAGTAACGAAACGAACTAAAATAAAATAATTGATAATGTCAGAACGTTTTACAATAGGTATCAGGTAGTTTTAACATGTTTTTCTTGATGAGAACGAATATATTGTGCTCAAATTTTTCATATGTCATCAAATAATTTAATTCTTGTTTCCACTTCTTTATGTGATGAGATATGAGACTTTTGTTATTTTTTCATACATCGCAATCGCAAATATTTTGTTCATGTACATTAGATGCATTCATTTGTTTTATTTCAAATAAAAGTAAAAATATCAAAAAAAAAGCAATAAAAAAAAAAGTATTATATTCCTGTGATGAAGAATAAAACAAAATTCATTGAAAGAAAGATATATTGAAATAAATTTCATAGCTGCTACGTAGCCAAATATTTTCTTTTGAGAATTAGAATATTACAAAAGTTTTGTTATAAATCATTTGCGCCTCACTAAAACAAATATTTCAACTAGTACTCATGCTTGCTCAGGCAAAATGAGTTTGTTTTCAATTTTTTTGAAAGTAATTTCGAATCATCGATAATTAAAAAGCTTATCAATCTGATTACAGTACATGTTGCAGATGATTTAAAGATAAACATAAAATAAATTAATTCTTCTTTAGTCTACCCGACTACTGTGTCAAAGCCTTCGTGATGTTAAGACTGAAATAGTTTATTCTGTGAATTTTTTTACTAATAAATCTTTTTTGCATTTGATATAATTCAAATACAAAGCTAACTTGTGAACATCTAAATTAAAAATAATTAGTAAATAAGAACTATTTTTAACTTGTTTCACTCGAACAGATGAGTACGACATCTATTTGGAAACAATTATATCGTTCTTAACAAAAGAATAGCTTTATACAAAATCTGTTCGTTCCATTGGACTACAGGATGGGATGATGCTCAAAAAATTTCCGTCGCATCTCATCTCATGAAATGTTTTTCAAGTGAGTTGCATCCGATGGGACTGTCCTATTGTACGCGGAGCCCTGGTGTATATGTGCACTCGCTTTTCATAAGCAAACTGTACCATAATGTACATAGTCATGCTTTGGTGCATTTGTAAAAAATTAAAAAATATTCATATCTTATTTACTATGTAAAAAGATACATCAATATTAAGTAAACAATTGGAGAATAAGGAAAGAAACAATTTATATTCGATTCATTTAGGAAGATTGACCATACAAAAGTATAGCATTAGAATATCACATGAACATGAGAAGATATGATTTACTACTTTTAAAAATCTAAAATAATAACAAATCAGTCAAGACTGTGATTTTTATCCTCATTGTCATGCACATTAGCATGATTTGAACGAAATCAAATTGAATCTGTTGTAATTATCAATTATATTCTGCAACCATTACATAAGTATCGGGGATGAACTGACATAAATCTGAAAAGGAAAATAGATAGCAAAGTCAGAAAATTTTATAGCATTCAACGAATCATAGAAGAAATCAAAATAGATCACTATCTATGCATTGTTTAAACATAATTTTTGGACGAAAGATAGTTTTAAAATTTCTCCTGCAGATCCAGTTCGATAGGCATGCCACTTTTTGTACCAATTTTGTCTTAGAAAAATGATACCTCATTTTGTAGAGTTTGTTTTACTTTGTACAGATTTTCAACATCAAAATTTCTTGAATGTCGAAAAACGCCCAGTATGTTTTTGCAAAAAAAACTGAGAAAATATCGAGCGTTTAGACACGCTAAATTATACTCATTTTTCTCGCAATTGTTCGCATTTCTCTTCTTACTGAAAAGGTATAGTTTTTTGTTACAACTTCTCAGCGGTCTTAATTCAACAAGTAATTATATATTACTTTCGAAAAGGTATGCTATTCTGGTTTTAATTGTTACTACATATTTCTAAAAAACAACCGAAAGTTATTTAAAATAAGAACTTTGAAAATTTTGTTCTAGGTATATTTGTAGTTGTGTAGCAATTTTAGTTTTTTATTTCTTGGTTCTATAGCATTTTATATCGGTAAGATTTTATATGTAATCAGATATGATAGAAATAGTAATTCTGAATTAACAGTGGTCACACGTGCCTTAGTTGAATACTATCATGATAAGCAGAAACACGAAAAAGTCACTAGTATTCTTAAACTACTACATCCACAAAGTAAACCAATAGTCAATATATTGGACTCCGAACGAGTCTTTTGCTGTTAAACGAGTATGATCGATCAGCCACTGCCGTAGATTTTTACTAGCTTCATCTGATGGTGAACCATTAACGTCGAACCAAGAGAGTTTGCCATTCCATTGAGCAAGTACTGTTAAGACCATTGGATCAACGATCATATTTGAGTCTTTCAGCTCTATGATAAGAACACGAAGATTGCTGAATACTCGACAGATGTGTTGCAGTAGATTCGATTCACTGTCTGGCCAGTTGCCGACGTCGAGACGAATAATTCGTTGCTGCAGCAGATGGCATGTAGGTTCGTGATCGAGTAGACTCTTGAGGCAATCGAAGTGAACACTCAAATAGTTAAGATTGAGCGCTGCCTTGAGAAAGTCGAGTTGCGGACAAATTCCAACTATTTCAAGCTTTCTAAGACGAGGCAAACTTAAAACAATTGATTGTGTCGGTGATGTTACAGCAACTATGTAAATAAACAAACATGTTATTGACTCGATAATATATATTAGACATTATGAATTGATTTGAAGAAAAATTAGAAAAAACGCTTTAGTGCTCGTACATAGAAAAACAGCTAGCTTATGATTGAGTTAACATTTGCAAAACTTGGACTCTAAATATATACTTCTTATGAGAGAACTCCGAAGATAATAGTTAATCAGACAGAGGTATCGACAAAACATGATTGACTGTTTTTGACCAGAAATGACGTTCATATGTGTAAAAAAAATTTAAACAAAATATTTCAATAGATCTACTTAAAAATTAATCAACTATTTGTAAACAATATAGTTTATTCCTTATGATTAATGAGTATCATTGACTTAGACCCTATTTATTTTACAAAATTTTTTTCAAATTATTTAGAATAATAATGCTCACAGTTTCAAGTAACAAGTTATCATTTGTCAATAGCTTACTTCCAACATTGTTTCCGGAAAAGCGAAATGAGCTCGATTTTTCTATTCTATTGCAGGGAGGAGACAATGATCACTATGACTTACTATCCTCTCTACTTAACCCTGTCTGATTTACTCATATCTTAAGATATGTTTTTTTCTTGACTTTATACTCAAGAAATTGATCGTCGTTTTTATCATTCTTACTTAAACAATGCTTCTCATGTGATGAAACAGAAGATCAGAGACAAAAAAAAACATACAATTTTCTAATTGATTCTTTGAGTCGATAGTGAGTGTCTGAAGCTGATGGAAATGTTGTAGTATGACGAGTAGATCGGTGAGACTTGTTGGTTCATAGATGTATAAGTCTTCAACTTTTTGCATATATTTCCAAACTGATGATGTCTGTTGACCCATTTCTGCTCGTAGAAGAATTGAACGCAGATTAAAAGGAATGGTATGAATTAACGCACGTTGCCATGTTTCGTCCAACAAACAGTTGACTGGAAGGTGAGTTGGCCATGAAGCAAGTAACTCATCGGTCTCCAAATTCGGTTCAGAAAAGTAATAGCGAATGAAAATATGAATCTGTGTCACAGATGAAGGCAAAGCCAAGACAAGAGCCTGTCCCTTGGCAAGACGTTCATCGTTAGTGCGCAGGTCGAGTGCGAGTTTCTGTAACAAGGGCATCAGATGCAATACATCAATAATTTCATCTAACGTCCAATGAAGGTTGATCGAACGTAATTGAAAATCGATGAGATGAACAAGAGGTGACATGTTTGTGAATGTGTTTTGAAACTGTAGATGATCTGACAATTCGTCGAACATCACATGCAAACGACGTACATTCGGTACGATTGTTAAAAGTCGTGGAAATAGTCGACTTAACTCTAAGTTAACTATGAGTTCTTGAATATTTGGATACGAAATTGTTTTATCACCTTCAGATATATCTAAATAAACTGAATCCTCGTCGAATGATACAAAGGTGAGCCGACCATTATTGGCAGCCAAGGTTTTCGCCAGCAAAGTATTTTCAGTTTCTCCCTTAAGGCCTCGGATGTCAAGTTCGACAAGTTGCGTAAGATCTTCAAGGGTATTAAGGAACGATGAAAGTCGCTCACCAGTGAACCATTTAAGTGTCAATTTTTGCAATTGCGGAAACGTAGTTGATAGTGGTGAGGCAAAAAGAACAGCAAATGCTTCAGCAGACATTACTGTTTCCCAATTGCCATTTAGCACCAAAGATTGAACAGAAGAACCGATTCGAGACAGAACATGAGAAGTAACATAGTTAAATGGTCGGTACGTGGTACCTAAGAGATTGATATAACGACAATAACCAGCTATTGTAATATTGAGACGAACATTAAGATTAAAAAAAGAGTAGAGAACATCGGCTCCGCTTAAATAGCGACACACTTGTAATATTATTTCGTCGGGAAATATTTCGAAATTGGAATACTCGTCCATCTAGAAGAATCATTTATTATATGTAATTCATCAAGAGAAAAAGTGTCATTTTGCTCGAGACAAATCTGCTCACTAGGTGTTGTCATAATATGACTAAAGTTGGAAGAGAATACAAATGTTTTTTTCGTAGTATGAGTATTGTCTAACCCGATTGTCGATATGTTGCCACGTATAGTAAGAGCTGACAGACTGAAAGGAAAGAAAAATACATATTTATATCTACTATCAGTATTAAAAGGTTAGATGCAACATCATTGTATGGAAACGCTGCCACGATCAACAACTTCTTGTACATAGAGATATCCCGCGTCGCTGAAAATACTGAGGTATCGACTGTATCAAAGTAAGTATCTTTATTGCTGTTAATCATAATTATAAACGAAAAGTAATGAAATGAACACATCTATCCTTCCAAAAAAATAGCATAAATTTAAGCAATCTATGTAGATTAATATTTAAACGAAATGTTATCGAAGTTTGTCTACGATACAACTTATCACGCGAAGTAAAGAAATGTGCTGAATCATATACAGCGTGCACATACTCATGTTCATACGTGAATCCATGTAATTTCAGGAATAATAATAACTTTTAGTTCGAAATGAAGAGATATATATACTTGATTTAGTAGGGGAAAGAAAAGTTGAATACTTTGTTTTCTCTTACTCAGTTGTGTAACACGATGTATTGGATGAGACGACGAAAAAAGTGATATCGAAGCATTTAATTTGACTTTTCAATTGCTCAAGCGAAACTTATAGAAAATGGAAGAAAGAATTAAGAAAATAGTTAGAAGCAAAGAAGAAGGATAAAAGAAAAAGACAATAGAATAAAGAATAGAAAAGAATAACCAAATCACCACTAAAATTATGTAAAAATAGAAAAATAATAACATCCTCATTCGCTAACATACTATAATGTTGAATAAATTATATCATCTCTAAGAAAAAAATGTGAGAAATCATTAAGCTGAAATGCCTTCATCCAATGGAAATTTTCTGTGTATCCATAGATTACGTCCAGAAGATGTCACAGTATTCCGTATATAAATTGTAGTCTATGGTGTTAAACGCTATGATAGCTTTAGCTAGACGTATATTTATCTCTTCGTCTGATCGTTGATCACTTGTGAAATTGCAATCTAAGTAAGTGAAGGAATCAATCGTTTCTAGCTGCTGATTCAGAATATTTAGATCAATCTTGGTGCTTTAAAACTTTTCGATTTTGATCTTCTTCAAATTGTTTCAGAGTCATTATACATGTTTTCTTGATGCTCATCGTTAAGCCAAATTTTTGTATGACTTTTTCAGATATGTTGACGAAAGTCTCAAATTGTTCGCTGTCTTGTACATAGTGACGAGATCAGCTTCGTATAATAAGGCCAAGATGTCAAATTCATGTAGTTCTCGCGTTTGTCATAATAGAAACTGTTGCTGCCGTATGAAAACTTCATGATGGTAATACTAGCCTCTTCTATACTTCTTCTAACAATAAAATCAAAGAGAATATTAAATAATATTGGTGATGGAATGTCATCTTGTAAAATTTCCGTTTCGATCACAAAACTGTCCGATAAGCCATCATCAATTTTGACTTTTGCCTTCGAGTTCTTATAAAGCATTTTTAGAAGATTAACGAGTTTCTCTGAAACTCCATACTTGCGGCACACTCTCCACAGTGGTTCACGATTGGCAGAAACAGGAACCGGAAAGATGAGCACGGAAAGCGAAATTAACTTACACATGGTGCTGATAAATAAACGAATGCCTATGTATGTTAATAAGATCAAGTGCGAAAAGTAAAGATGAAAAGTACTAGTGTACTTAAGTTTATCATAATTAACAACATTTAATGGATAAATAACAAATAATTAATTGCTAGTATAAACAATAACGAAACATTTGTTCTCTGACACTAATAATTTCTCCATATGACAACTATTTTCAATAACGGTACAACAAAACAAAATCCACATTTAGACCTGGATGATTTTTGATATATAAAGAATCAATCCATCACTGAAAACAAGATATCGATGTTGTATAAAATATTCGACACATCTTCGTCATTCTCGTCTTCATATATGTATTGTTACAAAGACTATTATTCAACTACCAATACAGTATTCATGTAAAACTAATAGTGCAGCATTTGAACTATGGAGATTTGACAAGCAAATTGCTTATCGCGCTCGTCACACTCAAGAAACACCAGATATCATTGTTATTAATTGTTACAAATGTAAAAATACTTAAGTTATAAAAATAACTTACATTAATAAATACCAAGTTGAGATATCTAGGTTTATCAGATACAGAAATTTTGTCGTTTACCATATCTATTTCCACTACGTACTCATTAGATTTTCATTTACAAACTGATTTTCCTTTTTACGTGTTCAACTTTCCGGTATTCATCTTCCCATGGTGATCTTTCCTCGTGCTTAACTTTACATGCTCATCTTTCGCCAAATCGACAGAATCATATGCTTTGGTTATATCAATAAAATATATGAAGAGAGGTTTGTTAAACTCTCTTCGTTCTTCTATTGTCATTTTTAATGTGAAGGTTTGATCGATTGTTGATCTGTTGGAACGAAAACCAGACTGAGCTTCTAGTAATGAAATTCCTTTGCAAATGTTGCACAATTGTTTCTCTCCTTTATTCTTATATAGCCTGATTAGAATCGTCAAGTTCCATTCTTGTGCACCATCTCCTTGTTATTCCGCACGACAGTAAACATTCTGTGAAGTTATTTAACCATTGACTCACCACTAGCTTTCAGAATATCAGCCGTCACTTCGTCGTTGCCAGGCACTTTCCTAGATTTCATTTGGCTTAGCGCTCTTCTGACTTCATCTATAGATGGTTGAGCATTCTGTCGTTGTTCTACTGTTTGTGATGAAAGATTTATTTGAATTTCATCGATCAAATCAGGATCAACTGCTGCACGAACGTTGAGTAACTCGTTTAAGTGCTCATGCTATCGTCCTAAACGATCCGATGAATTGCCTAGTAAATTCCCATTCTTGCCTTTAATTAGCATATTCTCCATTCGTTTGCTTCCTCCTCGAAGACGTCTAATAATTGAGAAAACAGTGGCTAAATCATTAAATTTAATAGACTTTTCTATTTCCTCATATACTTCATCACAATATTATTTCTGACAATCATCGATTTTACTTTTAACACTATTTTTGAAGATGTCTGTACTTGTTCTGATATTCAGTTTCTCTTTGAGTACCATGGTGATTCGGCTAGTGAACAAAAGCTAAGAAGCTTTGATCAATAATTTATAATATCTCATTCATAAACAATCAGTATTTATCATCAATAGAGTGTCACTTTAGTTGTCTCGGCCAAAGTTGCATTCAGATCTGTCTGAAATAATTATAATGCCTTATCACTTTTGAACTTGGTAATGTCAAACTTCACTTTTTCTGTGATACACGTTTTCTACTTTTTAAATGAAATCTTATTTTGGCACACCTTAGATGGTAACCAATATCGCTCGCTCCGGCAACTCTTCCAACCATACGAACATCTTCAATACCAGCTGTGGCTATGGCTGTGCAGTGTGGGTGTGAGTTTGGAGTGTGGGTTTGGATGTGCGCGTAGTTGCTAGTGTGGATGTATGTGTGTCAAGAGGAGAGCTCCCACACCCGAATAAGTTTCAATTATCGGAAAAGAAAAAAATCGAAAGATAAAATCTCGAAAAGTAAGACTCTAGAAATAGAAATCTCGAAAATTTCGATAATCTCAAAAGTGTAATTGTTAGATGCATGGTTTATGAATCATAAGTTTGTTGAAGAAAGATAAAAATGTAGAAATGAAAAGGATACGTAAACATCATCGGCTATGATGCGGTGTTTTACCGCTTCAGCTAGAGAGTAAAATTAACACAAAAGAAAATTGGCAAGTAGCAAGACGATAAGAAAAAGTTCGGCAGTGTTTTGAAAATCGCATCTTCTCTTTCATATCCTTTTGATAAGTAACGGTAAACTTTAGAGATTTTTTTACGAATCAACTTCCGCATTTTGAGATCTTGACGATTAGGGTATGAGTGTCGGTATCGAGCATGATTACTGGATATGAGTAAACTAACAGCTCATATTCAAGCCTACTATCATCGAGATCGACACTCAAACTCGCTCATGCTGGAAAATACGTTCAAATCGGCACTGACACTTGAAGAAATGTGACTCATCAGCCAGTGGAGCTCGACTGGGACCGTTATAATGAAATATGGTTTTCAGCAGACATCTACTCTTATTGATTGTTTTACGAATTTTCGAGATTTTCCATATTCGATATTTTACCTTTCAAGATTTTGTAGTTCGACATTCTGTATTTCAAGATTTTGCCCATTCGATGTTTTTATTTTCGGGCTTTTTCTTGTCAAAATTTTGTGTTTCGAGATTTTTTCCTTCGATCTTTTGCCTTTCGGTCAATTAGCACTCCATCGAAATGTGATTCATTGACAATAAAATCTATATATTCCTTTAAATATGAAATAGCGAAATTAGACGTATCACTATTACAATATCAATGAAATCTATTGTAATAATAGGTTAAATCATAGAATCATGTAAAAGATTTATTTTTGTGAAATCATATATAAATAACAAATAAAGAATGTTTTTTTTGTAAAATCACAACAATCATCTAGCAAAATTTAATCATAATTGTTTTTAATTTCGATTATAATTTTTTGCACAATGAACATGAACTTGACTTCCATCTTGATAAATAACACATGATGTTTCATAAAATTGTTGTAAACAATGTTTACATTGACGTTGTTCATTAATCATTGTATTTAAACATTTTAATTGACGTAATTTTATATTTAATTTTTCATTTTGTACACGAATTAAAGATGATTCAATTTTAGTTGATCGTTGAGTATATGAATAAGTACGTAAAGCACGTAGAAGAATTTGAGATAATGATGCTAAAGACCAATGAGATGGTAAATGTTGTAAAACTTCAATAAAATCAAATTCAATTTCATTATTACAAAGAAGACGAAGTAATGCTGTTTTTATTTCATTTGGATATCTAAATATTGTTAATTATAAATAGACAAAAAAAAAAATCTCAATGAAATATATTTATAAAATAATTTTACTTGTTTAATGAATTAAGAAAAACTTTAAATAAAACATGAGCAACTATTTTTCTATCATCACTTGATTTTCCTTGTGATAAAGCTATACAATAATTTTCAGCATATTCAAAATCTTCAAGTTCATCAACAAGTATTCGAAAAGCTTGTTCAAATTTATTCATCTAAATATTTAAAATTATAAATAGAACAAAAAATAAATAATAGACATAGTTAGAAAATTATACTTTGCCATAGAGAAGAGCTACTTCACGTTGTAATCGATTTGTTTGATTAATTCGATTTAAAATAGTTTGAACACGATAAGAATTCGATGTTATTATAAATGCTTGTAGTTTAGAACTAAAATTTAACAAAGTAAAAATTAAATAAAGTTTAAGAAAAATTTTTATTGAACCGTGTTTGTTCATTATCAATATCTGATTTTGATAAAATTTGATCAAGATAAATATTAACTAACATTGTATGAATTTCATCAGTCTAAAAATAACAAGAAGAACAAGATGTTTATCAGTTCGGTATATCTACCATTCATGGACAATTGATAGTAGCAAAAATTCATTCGACAAAAAATATTCTGTTAATACTTGCAGTCAACAAAAAAAGACGTTACTATAGATGTAGTACAAACTATGCCAAGGTTGTGAATCAATCAGTCATCATCTTCGATCGTAATTCAAATATCGTGAGCTTATCTGTGACTTCTGCAAGCGTTTTGGGCACTTAGAATGGATGTATATGTAGAGACAAAAATAAAATGAAGAAGAAGAAAGGAATAAAACTCATCTAAACATTGCAACAACCACTAGATATCAATGGTCATGACTATAACTTGGAACTGGATACTAGGACTAGGGATGTACTAAATTTTGGATCGTGCTTTCAAAGATAACATTTCTAGTATTGGGAATTTGTTGTCCTGTCTATTGTTCTTAATAGTTCTGCTCCATTTTGATTGTTCTATTTGAAACTTATCAGACTCTATGGAATCTATAAAAAAAAAAAGAAAGTTTTCCTATTGGTCGAAATTAATGAGATTTCAGACAAACACCGACTAATTTCATAGTCCTTTTTGAATATTCAAATAATAGCATCTGATAGAACATTCAAAGTTGATTATTTCTAATATGAATCACTAACAGACACTCGCACTTGTGAATATCAGAAAAAATATTGTCTTTAAGTATGGATCCACTAATTCGAATCAATTCTTGGAACTTCAACTAAAAAATAACGTATTTGTAGTATGGACAAGCCATAGATTTATGTCTATTGTTCATATTAACTGTGATCTACTTTGAATGATCTACCCGATGTTATTATTTGAATAATAAAAAAGAATTATAAAATTGATCAAATTTTGTCTTAAATCTCATAAATTTTGATGAAATTCGAAACTCTTTATTTAGATTTGATGAGATCTAATGCTACTTTCAGATAGAGACCATTCAAAACTAAACACAGTCAACAAGATAATTTTCTAATGATGTTTTTGTTTTTTTTAATAAGTAGAAATAATCATTTACTGATAAACTATTTCAAATAACTGTCTTCATTTGATTTTATAGGCGTATACAAAAGAGAAATTCTTCGAAAAAGTGTCTATTCAAATTAGAGCTTCTAATTGCTTATGAAGAGTAAAAAATTTCTTTTCCATGTTCTATCATTCACTATGATATATTTAATTCAAAAAAAAATCAATTAAAATAGACTATCGAAAAGAATCTTGATTCTTTTTGAAACTTACTTCAAGTTTAAGTTTAAATACAGCATATTCAAGATAAGTTACTAATGCAATTGGATGTGTTTTTATTAAATTAATAACTTGTTTTGAAGAGAATGGATCATTATTTGATTCACTTTGATATTTACTAGTGAAAATCTAAAAATCATAGGTTTTTGTTTTATTTCTCTTTCTATAAAAATAAAAAGAAAAAAAAGAAGATATTAATTACATTACTTTTAATGCTAATTCTTCTTCATGTCGTTCTAATAACCATGTTGCAATAGAAAATTCTAATGATCGATCAATATTTCGTTCAAGTATATATTTTGCAATAATCCATATACCAGGAAATGTTTCATCATTCGAATATTCATTTGATACAAGTCTACGCTAAATATAAAGATCATTAGATAGATTTAAATAATATATATATACATATATTATGCATTACTTTTTCCATATATCAATTGCTTGTTCATGTTTTTCATGCGCAGAATAAAGTAATGCTGTAGCATGATAATGTTGTGCATCAATAAGAATTTTACAATAATCAACTGGAATATATGAAGAATTTGTTTGAATAAATTCAATGATTATTTCACGAGATGTAACAATTAAATATGCTTTTAATAGTGCTGGATAATAGTCCTAAAAAAACAAAACAAACAAGAATCTACACATCAAGACATGTTCTTTGCAAGCGACTGTTTGTTGAAAATTGAATATCTCGACAAATTGAACAGTCTTTTCGAGTAAAATTTTCAAAATATTCTAAGGATCCTTCGACCTATCTATAAAACTCAATAAAACGGTCATAACTCGGATGGATAGATCCTTGGGTATGAACTCTTTTAGAATTTTTCTAGTCTTATCGAGATCTTCTTGTGAATTCAATATAAGTTGAAAGGGCAGATTATAGTGGGAGTGGTAGTTCTTTGGTTAGAAAAACATCTGATTCAATGGATTTAAGAATGAAAAATCTGATAGATTATTTGAAGAGATAAACAGAACTATTATCGACGCCCAAATGTAAGGCAGGTCAATGTTTATTTGAATAACTTTCAATAGGAACGTCATAGAAACCTGTGGTTTTCATCACTCAAGAGAGAAGATTCGGAGCCATCGAAAGTTGATTGGTCAACAGTTGACTAATCATATGTCCGGGTGATTACAGGTCAATTGACTGAAATTTAGGATCTCAGAAAAACCCGTATAACTATCGAACGGAACAAACTAGGAATTGCGGTCTTGCGTAGATCGAAAGAGAAGAAATTTTTCTATTGGCTAGTTATATCATAAGTCTAAACTGAAAGGAAGATGATTTCAGAATATCGTTTTGAAAAAAATCTCCACCAAGAACTTACCTGATTGATCAATTGCTGATCAATCAATAGCTTGAGTCTTGTCTCTTAAATGGTGAAAACCACAAGTCTCTCTGATGTTCCTATTCAAAAAACATTGATTTATCTTATATTTTGACGTCCATAATAGTCTTTTTTTGGTCTAGAGACTAAGCAGAAATTCCAGTCTCGATACTAAAGAAAACTTGAGGAGTTCAGTTATTTATAGTTTTTCTGCTATTTTTTTTTTTGAAATCATTCTTGATTTGCCCATTTCTAAACGATTTCAATTCTTAGAAGAATTGACTTTACTCATCTAACACATTGATTCTTTCCGATAATGAAATAATCTCAGTTTTTTTTTCTTACTGATTGACGAGAAAATTCTGCTGATTTTTTTCTCATATAATCACAAAATGCATTTAACCATTGAATATATTGATTTTTAAGATTTTCATCTATATTTGGCCATGGAGAATTTAATGGTAGAAAATTTGGTATTTGTGTCATAATCTAAATAAAATGAAGAGATTGATTTTTTTTATAAGAAAAAAAAAAAAGAATTTTTTTGTTTTTTTACTTCATGAAAATCCAAATTAATATCATCAAATAAACTTAATGCACGAACAACATTCATTGAAGTAAATTCAATAAGTGCAATACGTTTTTTTGTTGATAAAACAAGTCGATTTGTATTACGTTGTTTAATTGATGAACAAGTACTTTCTGCTAATGTTAATGCTTCTTGTAATCGATAACTATTCAATAATTGTTCAATTTGTTCTTCAAGACTAAGTGGTACAAGTAAATAAATATTATCTTTATTAGTAACAATAATATTTTTAATATTTTCTTGTTGCATTGTTAATAATGTTCGACAATATTTTAAAGGTATTTCTTGTTTAAGTTGATCATCTAAATAACTAAAATAAAAAATTTGATAGAATGTTGTTTTATTTTTTATGAAAATTTTTAAAGAAAATTAATACCTATATATATGTATATAATCTCTGACAAGAACAATTAAATAAGGATGTGAATAAATAAAATTTATAGGTGAACTAATAAACATAATTGGAGCACGTTGACTCATACCTTGTAAAGATGTTGTAACACCAACATTAGGACCATTAAGTAAATATTGTCCCTAGAAAATATTTATGAATTTCATATTTGATAATTTCATTCTATTAGATTTTATTGGATAAATTTAATTAACTAAATACTTAGGCATACCTAAAAAAAGTAGTGGAAGTAAATTATTTTAGTATGGAAGACTTCAGAAAATTTTCTTTTTTTTATGAAGTGATAGAGAAAACAAAGCTTTATTTTTCTGTGCTATTTCATTCGTATTCAACTGGTATCATAACAATAAAATTTCGGCAAGAACTGAATATAACTCTATAACATTGGATCATATTTTCATCTATGTGCATTTTCTTTTTGACTATTTCTTGAGGATGTAGATGTGGGTGTGAGTTAAAAGTCAACAACTATTCCCATACCCACACTGAAAACAATGTTTCCTTCCCGAGATATCGACATTCCAAAAATCACTCATATTCCATGAAAACTTCTAAAATTTTCTGTTTTTGAGACTTTAATATCTCGGGATGTTTTGACTTGAAATTTTCAGAATATTCTACTAACAAATAGGGGTTCCTGAATTTCGCCAATAAGACTTTCGCCAACTGGACATTCGCCGATGGCGATAGTCCAGGGATATATTGACGAAAATCCACCAGATTTTCGCCAATTGCCGAAAGTCCCTGGGTGTATTGGCGAATGTCCACTGAATTTTCGCCAATTGGCGAGAGTCCAGGGAGTGTAATGGCGAAAGTACAGTGGATTTTCGTCAATTGGCGAGAGTTCGGGAAGAAGTATCAACAAAAGTCCGATGGAATTTCGCCAATCTTCACAGAAGAATATAAATCAAGGACACATGTGAGGACTGAGGGCGTCAGAATACATCTCATTATTTTCAGTAATTAATGTAGACGATGAAGATCTTTGTAATTCACGCGTAAGCTACCCTCTGTTAGTTTCGATGATGATACACTCCGACCCTATTCTAAATTTAAGTTGGTCTTCTTATATAAGTAGCGAGGGCCATCTGCCGAATAGCAGCAGATGTGTTGTGTAAATTTGGCAAAGGATAACTCTTTTCGTCTTTCTGTTATATAATATATATATATACTTTATACTAGTGTGCCTTTGACTGACATACGATGCTCAAACACTACCGAAAGTGCAGTGGACATTCGCCAATTGGCGAGAGTCCAAAGATACATTGACGAAAGTCCGGTGGACTCTCGCCAATTGGCGAAATTCCGGAGGATGTATTGGTGAAAGTACAGTGGACATTCGCCAATTGGTGAGAGTCCAGGTAGTGTGTTGGCGAAAGTACAGTGGACTTTCACCACTGGCGAATGTTCGGTTGGCGAAAGTCTTATTGGCGAAATTCGGGTAAGGCAACAACTAGACTTATAACCCTAAATTCGATAAAATTTTAGCTATAGTTTGTTATTTCTTAGCAAAAATGATTCAATTAATAATAATTTAAGAATGCTTGTGACAACAATAATTTCTTCAAAATTTGAAATGTAAAACAAAATTGTTAGGATCGTATCGATCAATTTTCTTTTACTTTTATCTGATGAACTTTACAAGAGAGATAACGAGGAATATTAGAAATGAATCATCATCATCATCATATATTCAAAACTTGTTCAATACATATTTGTAGAATAAATATCGATCTCTGTAAAAAAATATTTACATAATAAATCATTATCTAGGATTTGAATTTAAATTGAAAAATAATACTTACCGGAGAAATATTAGTAAAACAAGCTGTTGTATTAGGATCATCTAATTTTAATATACTCGTAAAGGAACTTATTGATCGACGATCATTACTATTTAATGAATCATAAGAAAAATATTCTGTTTCAGAACATCCAATAATACCATGATCATCCATTGACTAAAACAAAAACAAGAGAAAATAAATCAGTTATAATAAATAAAAATAGACTTTCGATAATTAAACATACAATTGATATAAATGAATCTTGAACAGATATTTCATATATTAAATTAATATTTATTTTATCTAATCGATAGATTTGTATTTTATTTCGTTTTGTTGATACACATATCTAAATTAATATTTATTATATACAATGCTATGAAAAATTATAGAATTACTTTTCACCTTTGATTTCTTTCGAATTTTATTCTTCATCAATATCACTTTTATCGTTTTAAATTCCCTACCAATATATAGATTCACATGTCAATCCGAGATAGGATCGGTTCGTATTTTTCTGAAATCGAATTGATATTAAGCTAACAAATATTCAGAGTGTTACTGTATAAATACATATAATTTCACTACTGATCTAGTTCAATCCAAAACATTTTTCTGTTTTAAAGGGGATTGGAAAAGATAATACTTGTTTACAACACAAAAATTAGACTTTTTTCGATACCGAAAACAATAAGTACTGGGTTTTCTTATCGATATTTTTGAAATTTTTCTCATTTTTATTTACTTCAGATCATTGAAATATTTTATTATGATTTCATAAACATCTATCTACTCTGATGAACTCTTACCAAAAAAAAACGAACAACCAATTTTAACAATAGGATGAGCTATAAAATGATATAGCAATTAGGAGCGGTAGCTTAGCATTGCATTAACTTAGACTATTTTTAATGCTTTTGTATTAGTATTAAAATATCATTACTTTAATACTAATACTCACAAATAATGTCTTAAATAATACCAATTTAATGCTAATTATATTTCAATACTAATACTAACGTATTAAATTATATTTTAAACACTAATATCACAATATTAAAATATTTTCTTAATTCAAATACTCATACTAAGCCGACATCTCTATATAGCATATTCGTTTTCATAGCTATCAAAGTTTTTAAAGAACCATCAATGAACTACTTTGAAGCGATGCATACATAATCCGATTATTTTTCAATAAATCAAACAAATAATTGCAACTGAACTATAAAAGATTTAGATGATGTCGAAAAAAAAACATATTGCATTTGGTTTTCAGTATAGAAAAGAAAAAAGTCTAGTTTTGTGTTGTAATCAAAGTGCGATCTTTTCTAGTGTTGAGGAAATTTGGTTTATACAATGATCATAACTATTGATATACTCTATATTAGAGTATCAATTTTAAATGAGATTAGGTTCAAATGTAGTTGTGGTTGGAATTCATCACGGAAAAGGTTAGAATCGAGATTATGAAGTCATGTAGAAATATGTAAAATTAGTAATTCTAAAATAATCAGTTTCCATTCTGATTTCAATCAATTTTAGAAATTAATACATTCCTTAATCGAACTGATTTCATCTCTGATGTGAATCTATATATTTGATGGTGAATTTAAAACGGAAAAAAGTGATATTGATCATGAATAAAGTTTCAAAGAAGTTAAAAACGAAAGATAGTTCTATAATATTTTACAGCATTGTATATCTCATTCTTACGTCAATATATCCTCCTTGATGTTGATCAGAAGTATTTGATATACCAAATGTTGAAACATTTTTTAATTTTATATTCGGAATAGGCTAAATAAAAAGATGAATAAATTCAATAAAAATACATTTATTTATTTATTTTTGTCTTACTTGTAAATTATCACTATCAAATATTTGAAGAAAATTATCACTCAATGTAAATACACGATGAAGAGATACTCGCACTACTTTTATTTTTATAATTGGTTTACGCTATAAAGAAAATAGAAGAGAATAAATTAGTTTCTTTCTTTCTTTCTTTTTTTTTTAAATTGTTTTACTGTTCCAAGATTTTGACTACCAATACAAAGACATTCATATCCTTTTGTTTCACTAGGTGTCGAGTCATCAGATGTTTTTTCTCGTATACGAAACTTGTGAATAAGACTAAAAATAAAATAAAATCTATTTATTTCAAAAGTTCTCCAAAGAAATAATAAAAAAAAAAAAAAATAATTACAGAACTCATCTTCTTTTTTTTTCCTCTTTATAACATTAAATATTCAGTGAATATTTTTTGTTCTTCTTTCCGAGAATATTTAAATGCCTTTGAATTTATATGTTCATTCTTGAACAACAAAAAAAAACCGATATCAAAATGTTTTCTTTTCTTTTAAAAAGACAATATATCATTCATTGTACATATTATTAAAAGGTTACAAATGCATATATATATCACTGAACAATTCTTTTGTCTCATTCTGTTACTTGATTAGCTGCAACAGTTGTAACAGGTGTTTCTAATATCCAATTTTGTCAGAAGGACCCACTTATCTCAATGTTCGTTTTTTTTTATCGCATTCTTCTTTGACAACATCATATTCGACTAGAAAAATATTCCTCGAGGCTAAATGAACTTGTATATGTACAATAACATCCACTTTACATAAGACTAAATTGTAGAGACGATTACTGATGTATATGTTTTTGTCTATGAAAAGTATTTTATTTCTCCACTTTCATTTATATAAATAACAACGAGACATCAGCAACATTGCGTAAACGAAAAAAAAAAAACCCAAAATAATCAATTAATCGAACTAAAAACTTTTTCTATGTTCAAAAAAAAAGAAACAAAAAAGGGAAAGTGTGAATACATAGACGGAGTTCAATTACGATTTGATTAATATTGACTATTTATCTTAATCATCGAGCACAAGGCCTAATATTTTTTATGTTCATAGAGATTCAATTAATACGACAACGAGAATAATGAATGCGTCTAACATTGATAAATAATGATGTAAAATTGAAGATGAAGAAAAAAAAGAAAGAAACGCATTCGACCATTAAATCACCGGATGTTGTAGATAGAGAAAAAAAATTTTTTTGCAAATAAATGATCAAGAAATAAATATAATGAATAGAATGAATATTGTTAGATAGGTAATATTCAATTTTGATGATGAGGAAGTATAAAATGATGAACGTATAGATTCATATGATGATCTAACACCACATGCTTCATATTCATTTTGTTTAGCTTTTTTATATTCATGTTTAAGTTGTAATGATAAACATTGAGATTCATCAAGTAATGAACGAAAACAATCACGTAAACGTGAATATATATTACAATGATTATTTAATTGATCAGCATATGAAGAATCTTGAATACAATTTTCAAATTTAAATTGACATAGTTGAGAATGAAATGGTTTTAATGCTGTAACAATATGAAATAATTGATTTGATGATGATGATGATAATTGTCGTTGATGTTGTTGAGATACAATACATGTCAACACCGTCATAATGACGATAAATTCGATTAAATTTAAAATTCGATTGATAATCATGAAATATTTAATCAAAATGATAACGTTGAATGTATATATATTTATATATACAGGAAGAAAGTCGTCATTTACATTACTATCACTCTGTAGTGCACAACATGCCGAGAGAGAAACGAGACGAGACAATGATGATGGAGAATAAGAAGAAGAAGAAAGGCAATGCAGAAATATGATAGAACCTGTTTCTCTCTATTGCTTGTTCTCTTTTTTTTTCTCTTTTCTTTCTTTGTCCTTTGTTCAAGTAATAGAAAAGGAAAACACAGAAGAAAAAAAAGTGTCCACCCTTATATTCATCACTATTATACGAGAGATTTTGTTTGATGTTAACTATTGATTATACTGAATGAATGACCAAAGGCGACCGTTGCTTTTTCTATTCTTTGAATGTATGTTATGTGTAAAAGAGAAAAAAAAAGGCGGAGGCATTACATTACATCACAGCATGAAACTAGATCCGTTTGGAAAACATCATTTCTACCAAATAGAGATTCATGCTAGGCCAATTAATCGATCACTATCGTTCTTATACCAGACTCATGAGACTCATTCTCTTACGAAATATAGTTATTATTTATCTGAACTCGTTTCTTTTCTTTTCTTTTTTTTTTGTTTTGTCTTCTATTCATTCATTGTTCGTTTTATAAAACAATTGAATAACTTCTTTGTAATTATCTCTCGATGACACATTTATAAAAAAAAATAAATAAAAATGACTGTCGTTTGATCTCTCTTAAATTGTCATAGATTATTTCCTGTTCTTATGAACCAAATATTTGAATATGACATTTTTCTTTTTTTTTTTTTTAATAAAATAAGAAATATATAACTATTTTATATGATAATTAATAAAGATTTGGCATTCAACAAGCAAATTAAAATTTGCATGACATGTCATTATTATTTCTTTTCTTATATGGAATTCTAATCTGATCGTGAACGGCAGCACGAAAAAAAAAAAAGAGAGAGAGAGAGAGAGAGAGAGAGAGTCGGAAAAGAGAAAAAACAACAGTTCTCCTAATCACGGACATCAGGCAATCGTGTGACAGTTCAATTTGTTTCGCTCTCTTTCTTTTCCGCTATTTTTTTCCAAGGATGTTCCGACATCTTCTTCTATATGCATCATTCTCTATGCAAATAATCAAACTCAAGCGTAAAAGCATCTTTCTTTTTTTTATATTTTTACTGACGAGTATGTCATTGTTTCAAAGGTGTGTTTTTTTTTTTTTGTTATAATGCATTCTTGTTGTTCAACATGTAAATTGCTGAAATGCACGCATATAATATTGTTGAGAAATAGAACAAGAGAGAGAGAGAGAGAGAGAGAGAGAAAAAATTCAAAAGAAACTAAATAATGACTGCAATTATAAGCTGTAAGTCATTATTCATTCTTTTTTTTGTTACTGAATATTGCACATGCTTTAACTGTTTGTACATTCTGGTTGCCTTATATAATATATATCGATATTCAACACATGGCGATAGTGCTAAATTATTCTATACAGACGTTTGACTCTTGATCTATTACTGACATGTCTCATCGCCTATCTATCGTATTCCATGGTCAAAATAGGATAAGAGGAAGAACTTCCTAAGATACCATTCATTGACATCATCTCAACATATCCATAATTTATCTTCATAAAAAAAAAAAAGAAGAAGATCTGGCAAGTTGTGCACAAGTGCTATACATATTATTGGATATCTCTCTTCGGAAAAGAGGCTTTTTTTCTACCCGTAATACACACACGACGGGTGATTAATACGACAAGCATTAAAAAAAAAAACTCATACAAGGCACCGTAATTCTTCAGGGACAAACGATTCATTTGCTTCTTTTTTTTTCTCTTTTTGTTCAATGTAAACGCACGCATGTCGATTAATAAATTCTAAATCGAATGAAAGTATTGAATCCCTTGAGTTATTAACAGTAGATTGTTTGATAAAAATAAATGAAATTCAAGGATAAAAAATATAAGCTATGTCAATGACAACACAAGCTATCTATCTACCGTCAATAAGTCAATTAACTATGATTCGATGTTTATGCTTATAGATATTATATATGAGCATGATCAACATATAGAAAATGTGATCTTTGTGACCTCGAAATACAATTGAATGTCACTTATTGCTGTTAGGCAAGAAAAGCAAACGAACGATAGTGGCATTTAATCGAATCGACATTTCTTTTTCTTTTCTCACTTATATGTTCAACAAGGCAAGAATAAAAACTTACCCATCACTTGTGCCAATATATAAATCATTGGCGCGTAGAGCAAATGGGTTTGTTGTTAATGTTGAATCATTATTTGTATCAATACATTCAATCTAATCATAGAAAAAAAAAAGAGTCTTCAATCTAGATAAGAGATTAAGAATGTTTTTTTTTTCAAAATTTGTAATTGTTTTTAAATTTTACTTATTTAAGATAATATTTAATTTACCTCTCCAATTTTACCATATGGTTGCTTATTTCGAGACCAAATATTAATAATTGAAAATATATTGAGTGCCATATTGAAAAATAAATAAATCTAGAAAGAAAAAAAAGAATAATTTTTCATTCAATAGAAGATTAAATTAACTAATCTAATATTCAAATCTCAGTTTTAAGTTTTAGATGTTAAGATCATTTCTAAAATGACGAGCTTAATAAAGTCTAAGTCAATTCGGTTCTATGGCTTGCCTTGTAATATCTAAGTATTCATTGGATACTTGAGATATCTCAAGAAGAATACATGTATTTGCACTAATTTCAGATGAAAATCTCATAATTGAGCTTTATATGAATAGCTGACTCAAAAAGTCGAACATCTAGAAAAATAATCATAACTCCGTTTGGACCGTGTATGAGCCCGAATCTACTTAGAGATTCTTTTAGTTTCACTGAGTCCTACTCATAGGCAAAATAAAATGTTGAACAGTGTCCGACAGTTGAATATGTTTTCTCGTTAATTCAGGAACTTTCGTCTATTATCCAATTGTTTACTACATTTTTCTATTATCTCTTAGATTTCCTATAAAGTAAAAGCTATGCCAGAGAAAAAAAAATTCCTTATATTATTAATTATTTGTGCATGCTTATAAAAATTAACTTATTTAGAAGTTATATAATTATAAATTCCATTGGGAATAGATCCCAATGCAATTAAAAATAGAAAATAGAATAGACAAATAACATTTCGAAATATCTATAGTTATAGTTAACTAAAATCTGACTTTAAACAGGATGCGTAAAATTGTTTTTTTTTTAATGAAGAGAATATTTTGATTTTCATCAATATAAACAACGAATTTTATGCAAAATAGGATGATTATGAATTACAGAATTTCAGGAATATAACTTAGTACTTTCATAGACAATCAACTATGAAACAAAAATAAGATTCTTAGAAAAACTTCTCGTCTATCAGATATAGTTAAACTCTCTTTGTTGATTGAAACCAAACATAAGAATGCTAAAGTCAAAATACCGAAACATATTAAAACACAAGCAGATAAAGATGTTGAAGTTTTTTTCTTGTAGTTGATTATCTGACCAAGATATATTCTTCAAACTCGTGCAAAAATTTACATAATTCTATGGATCATTATCATTTTATGATTTACTAGTTCGACTCATAACTTACAATACATTGAACGTCCTTTTACTTAGTATAACAGTTATTATTTTATGAAATCTGAATGCTATCCTTCAGGAAAAATATTTTCAGGCGCTCTATAGGTTTCGTTTTACAATTTCTTTATTATGTAACAAATATTCTATTACTGAATAAACTCAAATCAATGATTTTGGTATCCGGCTGCATGATTTTTCGACCGGATGCTACGGGATAGATGTCGTTTCCGGTCAAAACCTGGAAGAAGTATTATGATGTTCGTGTCCGATCGGAAACGTGAAAATTCAGACATTGTATCTCTACTTCCACCATTTTGCGATCGGAACTGACTGTACATCATTTACCTCGGAACTATTAAATTAATTATCCATTTATCTATATTCTGTTATTAATATACATTTGCCTAAAATTTTTTTATTATCAATAAAAATGAATCGATTAATCTTCTTGTTTTTTTTTCATATGATAGGATTGCATATAGAAGAACGTATTAAACGAGTAAATCTTTCAAAATAGAATAAAACTAAATTTTAATATTTCAATCAAGTTCACCTATGAAATAAAAAATATATATATATATTTATTTATTGATTCACTAGTCAAAAACTTATCATTATTTAATTCTACATAAATTTCGATCTTTTTCAAAGATCTAAAAAAGAAAAAACAAAATTAAAATCATTACATCTGCTTTCATATATCTTTTAATTATTTATTGGTATTCTAATATCCAATCAAAACATTTCTTTTAAACCTCTTTTCTATTAATATGCATAGATAATTTAAATAATTTATTAATCATTTTACATTAGAAATTTAGAGTTTATTATTGAAAAACAATTTTCAAAAACAAATACAAAACATTTTTAAATAAATCAATATAAATTTTATATATCAATTAATATCATATTTATCATTTTTTCCTTCTTTAATTCAGTGACGTCATTCGCTAGAAATTCTAGGACGTGTATGATATATACACACTTTACTTTATTTTTTGAAGATTACATATCTCTATATTCGAATATGCTATAGAAAATAAAATAATCATATGTCGGGTCAAATAGATATTTTATTTATGATTATGATTAATATATATTGACAATAAAACAAAATCTATTCATAAAAAAAAACAAACAGGTATAGGTGAAGACTCATCCCACTCCTACGATAGATGTTGGATATGGTCTATAGGCCTTTTATAAATGTTCGATAGATAAATATTAAAGTTACGAAATATTATTATTCTAGAATTTTCTGACGAGTAGGAAGTAAAATGAAGATTATATGTTTGCAAAATTTGTTTTTTTTGATTTATTATTTAGCTATAGATCTTAGGATATTTTTATTTATAAGTTAATTTTTTTTGCTAATTCGGATAAGAGAAAAGATTTAAAAATATCATTTAGAGTTTTTTTTTCTATTTGTATCAATTGAGAAATTTCTCGCTGTCATAAGTATTGTACGATCGAACAAAACATATTTAAAAAGAATTTATTCGACGAGTAACATATGATAGAAAAATTAGTTTTGATCAAAAACATGTTTTCTGTATTTTATTGTCACTGTGACATATAATTATGTAGTATATTAGTAATTAAAATTAGTGTCATAATACTTAAAGCTATACTTATAGATAATAACATATAGTATTCTTTTGAATTTTGTTTTGTTAACCTTGATCGATTTAAGAATATGACTATAAAGGGTTTTAGAAGGTTATTGTAGATTTTTTTTTTGTTGTTATGAACTGTAACTATTTTTTAATGAAATTTTAAAATAGTTGAGACTAGTCTGTGAAGAGATGATGATGATTATCAATGATTTATATTTCCTTTTTTTGCGAAAAAAATAATTTCTATTAAATCTACTCTTTAAGGTACAAAAAGAAAAACAAAATAATGATGATTGTTATTTCTTTTGCATATTGTGAACAGATGTTTTTTAGTACTTATTTTTTCTTTCCTTAGGCTTTTTTTTCTTTGTCGATTATTCGTATTCTCTTTTATTAACATTCGATCGACCTTCTATACATTCGTTTTTGTCGTTATATTTAAAAAAAAAAACAAAAAAAAAAGAAGAGAAAAACAAAATTTTCTTTTACTTTACTAAATAAATATAGATATTTTTATGAGATTTGTTTTTTAAATTGAGTATCTTATTATTTGTATTTTTATTAAATTTATTTTGTATTTTTTTTATTTCTCGTTTTGTTTTTTTCTTTCTTATTTCCTATTTGATTAACAAAAGTATAAAAATTGTTTTTTTGTTTTCTTCTTCATTTATTTATATTTTAGGTAGTTATTTGATTATGGATTCGATAAGGGATGAGAATTATTTAAGAGAAAATGGTTTGACCGATACAGTTGGTATTGTTTTGGCATCATCATCAACAACAACATCAAATATAAATGATATTGATGATGTACCAGATTATAATGAAGCATTTCCTCTATTAATTTCAACTGGTCAATTGGATATAAATCGTTCAAATACATTTTTTTCTTCATCACCATTTTCATCATCATTAAATGGATCAAATCCTATGGGTAATACAACAACATCATTATATAATTCATCAAAAATTGACGAAGATCGTCGACGTAAATTAGCTATTCATGAAAAATCAGCAACAACTAAAATTGTAAGTTTTTTTTTTTTTTTTTTTCTATAAGATTTCTAATTGATCATTTTGTGAAATTATTTATATGAAACAATTAAATACATTTGTTTTAATTTAAAGAAAACTAAGAAAATATCTTTTTATGAAATATGAGAGATTTTTCTTTTTTTTTTTCTAAAGATTGAAATTCCTCCCGAAGAACGTGTTACAGATAATAATCGACGTGGTGGTTATCAATCAATACGTAATAGTGGTGCTAATAATTTATCCAATACAAATGGACCACCATTACAAAAAATTTGTATAAGAATTCAAAAAGAAACATGTAAAAAAGAAAAATACAAAAATTTTTTTTTATTCATATAAAACATTTAATTTTTTTTTTGTTAATTAGCTACAAATATAACATTTTTCTGTAAAGATCAAACATTAATAGTCACTATAACCGGTCGACCTGAACAAGTACGTTTAGCACAAGCACAAATTCTACGTGAATTACAAAAACCAATTCAATTAGCTGTTAATATACCATTAGATTTTCATCGTTTTATAATTGGTCCACGTGGTACAACATTAAAACTTTTAGAACAAGAAACATTAACACGTATAGCTGTACCACCACAAGATAGTCAATCAAATGCTATACTTATATCAGGTGCAAAAGATAATGTTAAATTATGTGAACAAAAAATACTTGAATTATATCATATACAATTAAATAAAGGTTTTGAACGTTTATCAATACCATATTTATATCATCCATGGATACGTTATCAACTTGTTAATGAATTACAACGTCAATATAATGTTACTGTTGATTTACCACCACCAATTAAACAAACTGATGAAATAACTATACGTGGTGAACGTGAACCTGTTGAAATAGCTAAAGGAAGAATTATGCAATTTTTTCAAAATTTGGTAAAAAAAAATATTTGTTTTTTTTTCCTTCTTCTTGAGAATTGTTTCTCTCGAGAAATACAAAAAAAAAAAACAAAGACAAAGACAAAGAATTTAATTTGATATATAACCTTGATTCCTTATGGGACAATATTGATTTTACATACATTCGAATGGTAGAGAAGTAAACCTCGATATCTATCTGAATCAACAAAAAAAAAAAAAAAGAAAATAACAAAGTTTCGGAGAACATCAAATTGACAAATATCATTAAGAATTAATGAAATATTTTCTTTTTAATATTTTTATCGAAGATCTAGGGATGTACAATTGTAGATCTTGATGAGTTATATCTATTATCAAAAAAATTTCGTGCTCCTAGTTTGTTTTTACGGAGATCGAATGTTTTTTTACTATTTTAGTCATCCTATCAGAAAAAAATCACTATTGTCATCAATATAAATTAAAACGAACTGAGATTTTCTTCGTATATAATAGTACTCATGCAGTAGATAATGTGTAAAAGTTTGAACTTAAATGACCTTGGAAAAAACGAGTCATCACAAATATTAATATGATTTTCAATGTCATTAATCATCTGCACTGATCTGGGTCATTTATTGTCATTCACCACGCTTCATACTCGTACATTAAAAAACCTCTGTATTATTTAACTTACAATTGCTACGAACATCATGATAGAAGAAAAAATAAATAAATTATGATGACAAATTACACTTATCAAATATCTGAAATAATATTAAGACATTGATACTCTGTATTCTAACAGTTTCGACTCGATGTCTTGTAATTTTAAGAAGTGTTATAATTAATAACATTAAAAATTACTATAAACAAAGAAAATCTCAGCTCGTTTCAATTTATATTGACTACAATAGTGATATTTTCTGATAGGATGACTCTTATGGCTGTAATAGTAAAACTGTTCGTATTTTCTAATTCAAAAACAAATGAGTGTCTGGAAATGCTTTCTTGTTAGATTATTTTTTCCTATCATTACACAAATATAAAGCATATCCAAGACAATGAACTGAATTCTTTCTCTTGGTATACAATGAAGTTCAGTTCAATAAAGTATTATGATATAAATACTAGCTTCTTAAAACTGAATAGATAACAAATGAAAATTAGATTTATTTTGTTAATTTTATTCGAATACTAAATTGTATTCTCCATATGAATACTTAGTGTAACAAATATACCATTCATTTCTATTTAAACTATAAAAATATAAACTCCAAGGATTAAGTTTTAGCTAACTTTTAATCAAAGTGTCTGATTATTACAAAATTGTTGAAAACTTGTCTAATTGAATTTTTCATATGCGCAAAATTTCAGATCAAAATTCAAAAACTACGAGTTTTCCGAAAAAGAAAAGCTCAAATCCTTGTAGAATTTTTATTAAAAACATATGAAATACAAATGGTCACGAGGTTTATCATTGCGTGAAAGTAATGCAATTGTTTATATATGGATTTGTTTAATTTTAGGAAGGAAAAATAATGACATTTCCACTTGAAATTCCATGTGAACAACATCGTTTTATATTAGGTAAAAAAGGTGCTGGTTTAAAAGAAATATTTGATAAAACAAATGTTGTTGTTCGTATTCCAAATCAAGAAGAAAATTCAACAACAATACAAGTTTTTGGTGAAACAACAAAAATTGGTGAAGCTATAACAATGATTTATAAAATGGTAGATTAATTAATTAATTTTCTTTTCTTTTAAATCTTAATTTTTATTTAAAGGCAAATGCATTAACAGCTGTTCAAATTAATGCACCACATTGGATGCATAGTGTTGTTAAAGGTGAACGTAGTGCTAATCTTGATATAATAAAAAAATCTCATCCAGATGTTCGAATTTTTTTTCGTGATGATCATATTGCATTAGAAGGACCACCCGAAGAAGTTGAATTAGTTCGTAGTCAAATTCAAACAGTTATTGATGATTTACGAAACAATAATACAACATATTTAGAAATTGAAATTGATCCACAATATTATAAACAATTAATTGGAAAAAATCAAATACGTTTAATTGAAATGCAAGAACAAACAGGATGTGATATTAAATTTCCTTTTGAAGATAATCGTTATGTTAAATTAATGGGTACTAAAGAAAGTGTTGATAAAGCACGACAATTTTTACTTGAACGAGTTCAAAAATTGGTAAGAAATTTTTCATTCAATATTGAAATAAATCATTTTATGTTCTTTATGAAGATATCACCTTATCATGTAAATGTTCTTTGACTATAAGATGTATCTATAGGGAATTTTTCAATTTAAAATTCGATTATGCTCATAGGACAAAAAGTCAATTAAATGCTCATAACTCAATATGAAGTTTTTACCTATTTTTTTCTCGAAGAGTGTAATCATATGAAAAAATTTTGTTATGTAATACTCTATAATCAGGCGTTGGTAGGACTAGACGAAGTTTAAAAGAGCTTGTCTCCATAGACCTTTATAGCCGAATTATGATCGTTACGTCGAATTTTCATACCTATCTTTGAATAGTTACTGAAAATTTGCTTATAGATGAATCTAATGAATGTTTCTTTATTGGAATATTGAATTTTCAAGTAAAGTTGACTGTTGTGGCAAACATTCTTTTCGGCAGAATATTCTAAGTATCATTCAATCTATCTATGAGCAAAAATTTCAGGTCGAAATTCTTCTATTTGAGTACAACGGCTGTAATATCCGGTTATAGTTCCTTCGTAAGTGTTACATATAGAAAAAAGAGTGATAGGTAATACTTTTCTTATTTCTATTAGATTCTGTTTGACTATATCCAAGTCTAAGCGAAGATTTCTCTATTAGAATAATTCCAATGACTTATTCCTTAAATTTTCCTATATTTAATCATAATTATTCTAGACAAAAAGATTTTCTTAATGAAATTTTTATTTTTATTTTTTTCTAGTCAAATGAACGTACAACTGGTGTAAGTATTGATCCACAATATTATCCACAAATAATTGGTGCTAAAGGTAAAAAATTAGAAGAAGTTCGTTCAAAATTTCATAATATACAAATAACATTTCCTGAAGCAAATGGTAAAAGTGATAAAGTTATATTACATGGTGATAAAGATGATGTTGAAAAATGTTCAAAATTTTTACAACAAAAAATTAAAGATTTATATTCAATTGAAATTGAAGTATCAAAACGTTTATATCCATTATTAATTGGTAAAAATGGTTCAAATATTCAACGTTTACGTGAACAAATACCTGATGTTCGTATTGATATACCTATTGTAGATGATAATAAAGAATATTTACCTATACGTTTAAATGGTAAACGTATTGATGTTGATAAAGCACGTAAACTTCTTGATGAACATATAAAACAATTAAATATATCATTAGAAAATTCTGTTGATCAATATATAACAATAGATCCTAAATGGCATAGTCGATTTTTTTTAAATAAACGTAAATTATTAAATGATTTACAAACACAATATGGTGATATATTAATTAAATTTCCTGAACGTAATAAAAATTCCGATCAAATTTTATTACGTGGTCCAAAACAAATTATTGAACAAGTACAAAAACGTTTAGAAGAATTAATTGATACATGGGAAAATACAATAACAAAAGAAATATCAATACCACATCGTCATCATGGTTATTTACTTGCACAAGGTGGTTCATATATACAACCTATACAAAAAGAATATAATGTTCAAATTAAATTTCCACCACGTAATAATAATGAACAAGATTCATCAAATGATGATATTGTTCGTATAACTGGTCGTATAGATGATATTGAAAAAGCTATAATTCCTTTAGAAAAAATGATACCTATTGAATTAACAGTTGATATACCATATGAAGTACATGGTATTTTACTTGGTAGAGGTGGTAATCAATTACAAACATTAATAAAACAATATCCAGATGTACAAATAACATTTCCATCAGCAAATTCAACATCACATTTAATACATTTAAAAGGACAATCAGAACAAACTGAAAGTTTAAAAAATGAATTAATACAACGTTATGAAAAATATCTTGCTGATAAACAAGCACGTTCATATGAATTACGTTTTACAATTAAATCACAATATCGTTCATTAATTCTTGGTTATCGTCGACGTACAATTAATAATTTAAAACAAAAATATGATGTTAATATACAAATATTATCAAATGATGAACAACAAACAACATCATTAGAAAATTCTTCATTAACAAATGATAATTCATTATTAAATGATATTGAAATTTTAATTATTGGTTATGAAGATAAAACTTTACAATGTCGTGATGAAATATTAAAATTAATAAAAGATTTTGAATCAACAATAACAATGGAAATTGATATTGATCATCGTATACATGCACGTATTATTGGTACAGGTGGACAAAAATTACAACAAATTATAAAAGATTATAATGTTGATATTAAATTTCCAACAAATAATCAAAGTGATAAAGTACATGTTATTGGTACAAATCAAGAAAATATTGATGCTTGTATTGATCATTTATTAATATTAGAAGAAGATTTTCTTGAAGATTTACCATATAAAAAACAAATACAAAATGAATCAACAACAGGAAGAGGACAACAACAATTATTAAATATTCAACAACAACAACAACAACAACAACAACAAGATCTATCATCAACATCAAATTCAAATATAAATAAATCAAATAAAAATAATAATAAACAAGCAGCATTTAAAGTTAAAAATGCACCATGGACATCAAATGAACAAAATGGTTTTGAAAATCAACAAGAAAAATTTATAAATGAACGTCAGAATTCATCAAGACAAGGACGATTTGCACCAAGTAGAGAAGATTTTGGTAAAATTTTTCATTTTAATTTTCGTAGAATGATAATAGTTTGCTAAAGATAGATCATACAAAGTTCAAGAATATCTTTATTCAACAAAATACTATGATTTACTACAGTAGATCATCTTCAAAATCGATTTTTGTATTTAGAGAAAGATACTAGAATATTTGACACATTGAAAATAAACTAATTTCATTAAGAATTTTATTTATGTAAAGTTTAAACTCGAAAATCGATTTTGAAAACAATCATGGGATTCTATTGAAAAAAACGTATATTAAAATTATTATAACTTAAGAAAATGTTTGCTTCAATATTATGTTAGTATTATATCAAAATGAAATTGACTTAGACTTTCGAATGAGTATGTCAAGATTAACAATCTAATATAAATCTTTATTTTTTTAAAACAAAAATTTTTTAATATCCATTACGTTAGTTTTGTTCGTATTATTTGTCATTAAGTATTAATCAAACAGTACCAATAAAGAAAACAAAAAACCTTTATTTAATTTTCATATTATTTAGGTGAATATCCATCGTTTTCAAATGGTTTGACATTAACAACTGATGATGATTCATCAGAAATAAATGAAACAACAGTGAATACAATACCAATTATATGGGGTCCTCCAAAACGGAATAAATAAGGAACGAAACTATATTGAATATGTCTTATCTTAAATGTCACGTGGAATAACTGTGATTTCTCTTTTTTTTTTTGTTGTTGTTGTTATTATTGTTCTTCTTTCTTTATTTTACATTATTTATGTAACTGTCTGTGTTTGTTTGCTCAACTTGTCTGACTTTAGCACATTCTTCTATCTGATAAATCTTTCGTCTTCTTCTTTTCTCTATCCTATTGATAAACATATTCTTCTTAATTATTATTGGGTTTGTTGTGAGTTGGATGTTTACTAGAAAGTAAGAAGATATTATAAAAAAACAAAACACAACAAAACATAAATACTAAATATGTAAGGATAAACTTTCGGTAATCATTATGCAATATTATTTAGTTTTCTTCTCTTCTGATTAAGTGTATATACCATTTGTTAGTGTGAACTATCATTTGTGTCTTGTTCTCTTTTGTGCATTGATCACAAATTATTAGTTTAAAACTTATCGATCTTTTATTTCCATGGCCTGTTAGACATGTTCGTTTTTTTTTCTTTTTCTTTTTTGGTATACGCACGATCTTTGTCATTGTTATTTCTTTTTGTTTTTTTTGTTTCGTTGATCGGGGAGATTTTTTTTGTTTTTGTTTTAAAACAGACCATTTATCATATTCAAGTTATATGTTTCGTCTGGTGTTATTGAAAAACCTGAGAATGATTATATGGGCATGTGAAAGTCTTCATTTGATAGTTATAATCCCTTCTATTTCTTTTAATTACATTCGTTGTTTTTTTTTTCCTTCTTTTAAAACAGGATCATTATTCTATGAGTTTATTAAACCATGATATTGTTCTGAAATTATTGTTTGTTTCTCGTTTTTGCAGCTTTATGCTTGCTATTTTATTTCGTTGATTTTTTTTTCTTCATTAAAAAAAAAAACATATAAATGGTTATTGAAAAAATATCAGAACTATTGAAATGATTATCGATACAAGTGTTCGATATTTATTTTTTGTATGAAACGATTTATATTGAAGAGAAAAGTATAGAAGATTGAAAGAATTTCGTTTTGTCTTGTTGATTCATTTTATTAATTTAGATATAGTACAGAAATAATACGAAAAAAATTCAATGATAGAAACATATCGGTATCAATTTTTGAGTCTGAAATTATTTTTACATTAGTTCAATTGATTATTTGACTGAAGTTGACAGAAGATATTGACAATAATTTAAAGTCGAAAATATGTAATTAGACAAGATGTAACCAAATATACTTATAGAATGATCGTTTCAATTTTAGCTTATTTTGTGATCGAATTTCCACAAACTTAGTTTTAAGGGCGAATTTAGATATAATGATCATTACAATGAAATTTACTAACGACGGAAAGTTCCTAGATATGACTCGTCAATCAAACTGGTATTGTGTCGATAAATAGACCTCAACGAGACTAGTGGAGCTCTTTAAGGGTTCGTCTCTATGTACTATCCTTCCCAAGTTATTACAATTTTACGAAATTTTTAATCTCTGAAAAGATATTTCTGAAAAAATCGAGACGCTCACATCCACACTCTCACATAGTTCATTGTATTATTACTTAAATTCTTGTCTGATGTTCATATAAATAATCATCCTGCAAAAGATTCTGAATTCAAAATTACGAACAAAAAACATCAGATTCCTATGTTTTCTTATCGAATGCTTATATCGAATAAGCATTGCTCTTTCTCGAAAAAACCTCCTTACAACGTTCCTAAGGTGTAGTTTTCGTTCACCACAAAATTTCTAGCTTTTATAGTTCCTCCGCGAGAGAGGGGATCTCTTCGATAATGACGATTTCTTTTCTTTTTTGTTGATTGTAGTGATTCTCAATATTCTAGTCAATGCCCAATGGTCACAGGATGTAGTGACTCTTGCTGGAGGCCGTGGAAGAGGTGATGCCACCAATCAATTCTACAACCCGCACGGTCTCCTCGTTGATGATGATCAAACGATGGTCTCGTCGTAGTGGGACAACTCACGCAAAGGGTGTGCGTATGCGTGTAGTCCTTCTTCCAGTCTCAACCCGATCCCGACATCCACACCAACTTTCATCTGCTGTCACCGTCTATCAATGTATTGGCGTATGCCTTTCACAATGAAGACGATGAACGTATGACAAATCAATAATCGAAAAGAAAAGTATATTATCGAATCTTTGAAGAGTTCGTGTATGCGTACAAAATTTTCTTAAATTTCGCAAAACAAAAATCTTTTCGAGTTTTCAATGCGAAATGTTTTTAGATTCAGTAAATTTCGATAGATGTGCCATCTTTCACAGGAAATGTTTTGTAGATTTAGTGGAATAAAATACAGTTTCGCACTACATAAACAATTTGTGTGAGTTGCCGGAACGAGAGAAAAGTTGGGCATTTTTCTAGCACAACATTGTGTATTCAACCAATGTAATAAAATATTCTGTACTTTTCTTACAGAATTCTTTGCGTCCTCTAAAAAGAGAAAAAGTTCCTTATATTAATCTACAAAATCTTTTGTGTAGGAATAGATGTTAAAAGATTTTTCCGAAAACCTTTTGGGATGAGTGAGCAGCAAAAGGTTTTACATAGAACTTTTTGCATCAACATCATGTCAAAAATGTCTCAAGTAAAATATTTCGCTTAAGCATTAAATGAAAATGATTTCTGACGTACTAAATGCATTGATATTTCATGATTAGAATAATACTTTTTGTTATCCATTATTGTCATTAATCTTTACAGTGATTAAGAATTTATTGGGATTTTCTATTAAGACTTAGAGTTATGATATCAAGATATTTGATGCAGAGAATCGTTGCTTTTACCGCTCCTTAGAATTCTTCTTTGCTCGCTTATGTGTAACATAGTCAAACATTTATGTCGTATTCCTAACAGGTAAATATGTGTGTTATCATTGTTTTGAGAGAATGATAACGGTTTTTTTCTTACACTAACAAGCGACAGTTCAGTGTAAATGTAAGAGGTTTTTTATTGATATCTAGAAATAGTAATTTTCTATCTAAATATCGTATAATTAAAGTAATAATGAGTATAAGATCACCAAATGATGATAACAGAATGAAACATATAGAAGATGCATTTAAATATTTATTAAAATGAACTCATCCTTATGAATATTAGAATAAACATTAGAATTTATATGTAAATGTTTATCAAAAAAACTAAAGAAAATAAACCATTGACAATGCTTAGATTTATTTCTCAATCTTCTTCTTTATTGAATATACTTTTATCACACAAATAATAAAATAAATATTTTCAAATAAAAAATAATATCTCTTAACTGTTTATCGAAGACGATGGTGATGTTAGAAAAAAAATTTTCATATTTAAATTTATTCAGTTGTTGATGGTGAATCTCTTTGTTTATCCATCACAATAATAAAGAAATGTCGATGCTGTCACGCTTAACTTGAAATGCAAATAAATTTGTTTCGTTTTAGAAGTCGGACGGAAAAAAATGTGTTTTGAGTACCACAAAAATAGTATTTTTACAAAAAACAATAACACATAGATAATAGATCCAATCAAGATCAATTTGAAGGTGAGGGTGGGTAAGGATTTCTGGATGTTACTATCTCAAGATAAATCTTTCCGACATTATATTTTTTTTGAACGATTTTTCCTTCTGATTCTAATAGGATATTAGATAAATACTATGAATGTATGTCGAATTGACAAAATTATTTCGCTAACAAAAATACGTATTTCATATTTCTAAATCAATGAACAAGAAGATTTCTTTTGAATTCATTTTAATGTAGATCGAATACTTTGAATACGAATAACCGAGGTGTTAGACTTTGCATCGAACACAATATACTAATATAGAAATTTCTAGAACAAACTTATTTGTTGATGAATGCGAAACTAACAAGGAAGGATAAGAACTGAAAAGAGATTGAATAAAGTAAACAGAGAGACCGAATTTTTTCTCAACGTGTAAAGCACTACATATTTCTCAAATCCTGTAATAGTTGTAACATCTGCAGATGAAACAATAATATATGAAATCTTTACAGTTAATCTAAATAATATTGGTAGAATATTTCTGATTGTCCTAGGAAAT